TGAAGGGCCTTAAAGGAGATGGGTGAACATGACGAGAGATAAGCCCATAGTGCAACAAACATGAAGGTGAAAAATGAAATCTCAATTTTGTCAAAATTTTCCTTAATATTTCATCTAACATTAAAGTATACTTTATGTAAAAAATCTCTACAACTTGCACAAATCTCATGAAAATTGAAGTTATTTGCCTATGAAATATTATACACACACGAAAGAGGACAAAACGAGTCATTTTTTCACACTATAACACTATTTTTCGTTACGGTTGGGTCTTCTCTCCATTTTTTTTTTTTGAAAGGTAGTCCTCAAAGTTTACATAAAAACATACATATTTTGGTTTCCAAAATTATGGAGCAATGACCCACTATGCCTAAAAAATATAAGTTTATGACATAACATTCGTATCTTTTCGAGAAATACTTGAAGTCCATTAAGTCAATGGTCATATCACAAACATGATTTAAATGCCACATTTATCAGGACTTGAGAAGCGTAGTGGTTAGCGTGCTAGTCTCAACAGAGAATGCAACTCAGGATTTGCCATGGTTCGAACCCAATGGATACCACATTATTTTTCTTAATAAAGGAATAAATTTTAACGAAAATTTTTTCTCAAAACTCTTTTTTTATCATGATTTTACAAAATTCAATGATGAGAACTTTACTCTAAATGCTAAAATCACAATTTGAATATGATTTTTATATATCTGAAGCTTGTGGGTTTTTTGCACGCTAAGTTCACCCATCTCCTTTAGATCTACATGCATACTCGGCACTCAAGGCCATTGAGCAGTTAGGGTTCTTTATCGTGCCAACGCCTACCGTGACACGGAGACCTACTGTACGTTTATTTAAAGAATGAAGCTTATTTCAACTTATGCTATACGATATCAGAGGTTTATAAAAAAGCGTAAGCTGTCCCAAGTTATGTTATATCGTGTAACATAAGTTGAAATAAGCTTCATTCCTTATAATTTATTTTCAGTGTAGATATTGAGACAATTTTTCTCCGAAAAAGGGCTTCAAATATAAGCATGTTTCAAAAGTAACGTCAAGCGGAGTAATACGTTTTTGACGTAACGCATTGTGACGTAGGCAAGTTACATTATACAAAATGAATAGAATTGTTTATCCAATCAAATGACGTGTTACAACTAAAATTAAATTATAAGGTCATATCCAAAAGACCCGTGACTTTTACTTCTAATGCCGAGTCCCTTGCAAAGGGACAGTCACTATATGTTAACGTCTTAATATGAGAACAATCTCAGCTATAAAATAATCCACGCATTTCGCCATTTTTTGACAAATGTACTTAGAATTTATTGTTATTATGTCACGTTCATACAGATCTTTGAATTTTCTACAATTGCCCCCCCCCCCCTTAAATCCTCCACTGACATTTAAGAATGACCACTGATTGGTTTTTTGATTTTATAATTATATGTTGTGGGTGAAAGATAACATTAAGTCCATAATGTTTCACTGGTAAAAATAGGAATTTTTTGACATTAAAGAACACAGACTGATTATTGTTTTATTTTCTAAGATTAAGAAGTTAATTATTCTTCTCGTTGCGTTATTGTTTCATTTGTAATTCAAATAAATAATTATTTCTCTGTCTGATGGCATTTACTATTAAACTGCAATAAATGAATAACACAGATATTGGCTTATCAGAATGTCCTGAATGTTTTTTTTTATTTATTTTCTTCATATACTTGGTATGATTAATTTGTTCCTATTGTAAGGTAGTTGTACAGTGTATAAAAATAAAAAAAGAAGCGTCAACCGTTTGCTAGGGAAAAACAAATTTTACTCTTTTCGTTCTTAAATCTGTACTCAAATTGAAAGTTTTTATTAATCATATTGATGTTATAACTGAAAACATACATAATGAAATCCGTTTATTTGCGGATGATGATACATCATTGTACACTATACGAGGGACTATCAAAAAGTTCGTGGACTAGCGCCATAAAATTAAAACCGCTTTAGGTACATGAATGAATTATAAAAGATCTAGTTATCATCATCCTTTCTTTCTATGGAATAAATCACAAATCGTAAATTTTATTTTTTAATGAATCAGTAATGTTTTTGTAAGCAGTGGTATGTCGTAGACACATTAGACACTAAAATTACAAGTGTTACTCCTACAATATTTCTCAAGACGATCTTGATCGAAAAAATAAAGAAATGGTCGAACTCTTGGGCAGTTGACTTCAATGCTGATAAAGAAATTAATGTTAATTTATCAAGAAAGAAAGTATTTTTTCCACACATTCATTTTGGGCAAAACGGAGGCATTATTGAACAATTCATTCGTCATACACATCTTCATTTTCAGTCCGACGATAGTTGGAATAATGATACCACTGCTATTTATGAAAAGGCTTGCAAGAGATTAAATATTCTGAATGCTCCCTTAAAAAATCTGTACATAATAGCTGATGTATCTTGTCCAAAGTGTGATTACCTTAATGAAGATAATGAACCTTAATGAAGATAATGAACACTATTTTATGAATTGTCCAGCATACATTTGTATACAGGTAGGACGCTACAGACTGACAGAACTGCGGACGGACAGATGGGCGGCTAGACAGGCAGATGGACGGCTAGACAGACGGATGGACAGACAGATCGAAGTTAATATCCCCACGTTCAGCGGGGAAAAAACTTATGTGAGCTTAGTGTATCTTTGAGCTAATGATTTTTTTTTACATTGGAGTTCGGAGTTTTCCCGTCAAACGAATTCATCATTATAAAGTATGTACATTAATAATTATAGTACAATTCGCTGTCATCCTTGGACATTCAGTATATAAGACGTGGCATTATCGACGCTACGTAATTAAACTTTTTCATATGAATCATAATTAAGTAAACACTTGTGTCTTCGTTTAGTATGAAGTATGTTTGTGTAGCGTTTGCCAAAAGAAAAATACGTTGGCGGATTGATGATTTTTGTACAAGCTCTTAAGTTTTTGCAATTGTTTAATACTGAGAACTATAAGGATATGTGTAACCTTGGTAAATATTATTTATTATAGCTTGAGGCGAAGAGGTGATCTTGTAATCCGATAATTGTATCTTTTCCATTATTTTTGTTTGTTTGTTTGTCTTTACTACTATCATTTATGTACGTACACATTGTTCTCCCGTAAAATATCCACTTCTGTACTGTAATGAAACTGATTATTTTGTATATATACTGATAAGCTGTAAGGCTTAAAGTAATAATAAAGAAAGAAAGTTTTTACGGAAAGAATTAATTGAAAGAAATTTAAACATGCACTAAATACGACATGTTCCCAGATCTGAAGGTTTTCTGAAATCATCACTGTATGTTATCTTGATTCTTTTTATTCTTAATTAGCAATTTTAAAATTTTTAATTTCTGACATAATTGTACATTATAGTGTAAATTATACAGAATCAATTTTAAACTTTAGCTTATTTTTTAGTTCAACTTAGAATTTCAATGTTAATATTTGAGAAAATATCTCTAATTCACAGCTCTAATTATACGTACTCGGGTTTTATAATTCTAAATCAAAAATTTATTTCACCAATTTGATCGAAGATTTTGTTTATACAACAGTGTGAGTAACCTAATGTATTAAAAAAATATATCAAAGAATAGTCAGGTCTTTGCCCACCGTAAGTTACGCAATGAACTAAGTTTGTTTTCTATATTATTTGACTACTTCCTTATATAACCAGATTTATAAAAGAAATTGTAAAAAGATTACACTAATTATTATGAGCACATTTTTGATATTTTTGTAAACAATCGGTGCCTCGTGGCGTCATCAATAATACGTACGTGTACATCCAATTACAGAACATGATTCTAACAATTTAATGAAGACGATGACAGTCTTACTGTTAGTAAGAAGATCTAATTTGAATTCTGAAAAAAAAATATGCGTTTTATATGATTATTCTATTTTCAAGCTTTAATGGCATTCTAAAGCATTAAATTGATTTTATTATGCTAAGCCTTATTTGCCACAGGCACCTTCAGTTGCGTTACTCATTTTTCTTTTAATAAAAAATCATGTATACCCCCTATAGATATTTTTTTTATTAAAAGAAAAATGAATTGAATTGAACATATTTTATCTCCCGGACCTGTTTAAGGGGGGGGGGGGGTACACCCCCCCCCCCCCCTTAAAATTGTCAAAGTTAACATAAATCACAGTTTCGTCTAGAAAATGTAAATATGTCTACTTGGTAGACCTCATTTTTACCCTACAAAATCTCTAGAATCCAGGAGCTTCAGGGGTCTTCGCCCCCTGGGCCCTCACCAAGGCTTTGTCCTGGACCCACTGGGGGCCTCAAAGCGGCCCCAGACCCCTAGCCTATTTTTGGCGCCCTCTCTAACTTCAAATCCTGGATCCGCGCCTGTTTATTGACAATTAAAGCCAAAAGGATAAGGCGCAAGTTCTACATCACCTTAGATAGTCTTCTCCTTATTCAAAATTTTATAACATTGCCAAAATAAAGTAATTATTTTCTTTAACAAATCAATTAGTATAGTGTCAAAGACTGTAAGCTCTTGATACCAGAATACAATTCTATATATACAAAAATTAAGATTTTTCAGAGAATCTACCACATTCTTTGAAAAAATTATGAATAACTTTAAAAATTTCTACATTTTGTTGATCAGAAAATGAATCAACACCCCATAACATCAAATGGACATCTATAATGTACAAATTGTTGAATGATAATAAATTATTCATTAGAGAATATCTTGCTGTTGCATACTTTCTACAAAAAAAAAAAAAAAAAAAACCAAATGGTAGGGATCCTCTATTTTTCCACAGGAGCAATTCGGATTGTCTATTAAATTACAGCAAAATAGGACAGAATTAAAAATATAATTATGTCTTAAACTTGTGTGAATAATTTTCCAAAAATAAGTAACGTCAGGTGACTGTAGCCTATGCTATGTATAAATCCGAAAAACATCAAAGAGTTATCGATCTTGTTTTAAAAATAATTATTTGCATGACTTGTGTCAAATGAGGGGAATTCTGGAGGTATGTATTTCATTATTTTGAACTTATTTATGTCCACTGTTCTAGACTAGGTTGGGGTTTTTGTATAATAATGGATAATTTTATCAATGCAAGTTTTTGCACTTGAAGACTCTCTCTGTAGCCTAACAAGGCTGTATCTACAAATAAGTTTCAGTAATGCATTATCTAAGCCTCAAACACTGACCCACTTTTAACACGTGAAATATATGGCTGGCAATTTTTGCCATTATAAATAATGCATGACATTGTACAGCTTCTCTTTCTCTCTCTCTCTCTCGTAGTAGTAGTAGTAGTAATAGTAGTTTTATATCGGCACTGATAACTTAAACGAGCTTTGTGCAGGGGTACTTGGTTTGATTTCCGGATCAGCAGTACATTATCTCCTTTCATGTTACATGATATGGTAGTTGACACCTCCCCCGGGACTTGTAGGTGTGAATTCCCGCCATTGACATTTTTTTGGTCTCTGGGGGGAATAAGGAATGTAATTATGTGGGCCATGAATAAAGTCCTGGGTAGTTCAGTTGGTAGAGAATCCGGCAAGTGAATCAATGGTCTCAGATTCGATTCATGGTCCAGTCATAAGATGGCTTTGTTACAATAAAATTATCATACATATGGGAAAAAAAAAACATGAACATTTCAATATGACCCAGAAGTTTTGCACACGAAGGAATGAGATTAGTATTTTTTCCGGAAAATTTTGATTTGATAAGTCAAAAAAAAAAAACTTGCGTGAAGATGATGCCGAGGATTATAATTTGACTATTAGAAGAACACTTGACATTTTCCGTCCTGATGAGTGTAACAACACTAACTGTGAGTATAACATTAACCATTTGAAATTAGAAAGACATTGCAAATCAAATTCAGTAAGCATGTTTATAATTTTTGTTCAAGATCAATCCTACATGTATATTTAAGGTTTTATTTGTTTCTGCTCTCAAAAGCAAATTACATGCATAATAATAAGCCCACACCTGTGTTAGAGGGGAAAATTGTGTACACACCACACAAAACGACAATATTGTTAATTAAAGCTATTTTGCAAAATAATAAAACTCTTAGCACAAAGCATGTAAAAGTGGAATAAAATCAAAGGTAGTATTAAAGCCTTTTCTTGTATATACACATTACTTATCTTACCTCCTGAGTTCACAGTCATACTTATCTTACCTTCTTATAGTGTACATTGTACAACCGTTTTTACATGTACATTTTGTCCATTATTTTTTAGTTTAATTAACATTCTTTCTTGTGCTTAACTTTTGACTTGTTAGTGATAGTGGTAGACCTTTCATATTATACATGGATTTTTCTTGTCAGGAATTCTTACCTTGTGTAACGTTAATTTTTACTATGAATTTGACCTACTTTTGAAAATCTATTTCCTCTATTTCCTGACCATCTATATTCAATGGAGCATGTGATGGCGTGTTTGCTCTTAGGATCTTTGTTTTTGCGATATTGATGTTGAGTCCTTTCCGTGCCTCTGCCACTGTTGAAATTTTCTCCTGCATTTGTGCCTGGGTATGTGATAGGAGTGCCAGGTCATCCGCAAAGTCTAGGTCGTCTAGCTGTGACCGTGGTGTCCACTGTAATCCATTTCTTCTATTGTCTGTGGATGATTTCATTATCCAGTCTATTGCAAGAAGAAACAGAAAGGGTGACAAATGACATTTCTGACGAACTCCTGTTTTACTTCGATGGTTCCGTCAGTTGTCGTACATGTGACCCTGCATGTCAGGTGTTCATAAGAGTTGCGGATTGTTTTTACCAGTTTACAAGGAACTCCATAATGTCGCAGACGTTTGCATATTGTCTCCCTGTCAACACTGTCAAAGGCTTTCTCGTAATCTATGAAGCCTACATAGAGGGAAGAGTACCATTCAGTACATTGTTTGATGATAATGCAACGTTGCTATCTGGTCCGAACAAGATCTATTTTTATGAAATCCAGCTTTTTGGTCACGTAACTTATCATCCACTTCTTTCATTCACCAGTCACAGTAGCCTAGTGGTAGAGCGTTCGCTTCGTGATCGGGAGGCCCGGGTTCGATTCTTGTTCGCGGCACCGCGTCATACCTAAGACGTAAACATAGGTAGTGACTGTTCCTTCGCCAAGCGCTCGGCACTAGAAGTGAAAGTCACGGGTCTTTCGGATATGAACTTAAAAACTTAGGTCCTGTGTCACGGTAGGCGTTGGCACAATAAAGAACCCTCACTGCTCAATGGCCCTGAGTGCCGAGTATAGGTCTAAATTTGAAGCCCTTCACCGGCGACGTCTCCATATGAGTGAAAAATTCTCGAGAGGGACGTTAAACAATATACAATCAATCAATCTCTTTTCATTCTGTTCAGTATGATTCTGTTAAATGCCTCCCATGGAACATCCAACAATGTTATTCCTTTATAGGTGGCACAATTGCCAAGGTCTCCATTTTTGGAAGCTTGATTAGGTATTCTTTCCATTCTTCTGGGATTGTTTCTGCCTCCCATATTTTCAGAAAAAGTGGGTGGAGTATGTTGGCTGAATTGTCAAAATAAGCTTTAAGTTCCTTGGCCGGAATATTATCAGGCCCTTCTGACTTGCCATTCCTCCTCTGTTTTAGGACTATTTTGATTTCCTCCTTAGTAGAAGGTCCCCAGTCTATGTCTAGGTCTTCGTCTGCTGGTGTAATGTAAGGAGGGTTAGGTGGAACAGGCCTAATCAACATGTCTTTAAGATGTTCTTTTCATCTCCTTCTTTGTTCTTCTTCCTCGTCTAGTTGTTTCCCTGCTTTGTCTTTCACTGGCCTTTCTTGTTAACTTCGCTTCCCAGATAGCTTCTTTGTTATGTCATACAGATCTTTCATGTTTCCTGCTTTTTTGCAGCTTGTTCTGCTTCTGTTGCTAGTTCCTCGATGCACCTTCTTTTGTCAGCTTAAATACCTTGTTTTGTTCTCTTGTTGGGCTCTGCATACTCCTTTTGTGCTTTTGTTTCAGCTCTTGTTCTGCTGGAATTGACCACACCTTCTTATCCTTCCTCTCCTGTACTTTCTTAAGCGTGTCATTTGTGATCCTGTCTTTATGATGGTACTTTTTCACTCCAAGTATTTCATGGCAGCTTGTTGTGATGGTTTCTTTTATCCCTTTCCAATGATCTTCAAGTATTGTTAGGTCTCCCGCGTGGCGCAGTGGTTAGAGCATCTCCTTACGTTGCCTGTTCGAATCCTACTGTGGGACGTGGAGACCGGTCCTTCAGATGAGACAGCATAAACCGAGGTCCCATGTCACAGTAGGTGCTGGCTTGAAAAGGATCCCTCACTGCTCAATGGCCCTGATTGCCGAGTATAGGACAAAATTTGTAGCTCTCCACCGGCAAGTGGTGGCGTCTCCATATGAGTAAAAATTTCTCGAGAGGGACGCTAAACAACATACAATCAATCAATGAACTGTTGTTAGTTCACCTATCTCCTGTAGGGCTTGATATTTGTTTTTCACCGCAGTCTTGTACTCCTGTAAGATTTGAGTATCTTGGAAAAACCTGGTATTATATCTTATTCTCTGAGAGTTTCCTTCTGTATTCATTTTCTTGAGCTTCAGATTTGAAGTTAATATTTTCTGTATAATATAACGACATATGTATTGTAATAGCACGACACATGAAAATATATTAAAAATCTTATTTCATCTAAAAGTTATTGAAACTTTAAATTTTTGGATGGGTTTGATTGACACATCCTTTTACTTTCATAATGTTTAGTTGTCCAGCAGCCCGAGTCGTTTTTTTTTTCTTTTTACTCTATGATTGTATCTAAGACATTTTTCTATTGGAAAAGTTAATAATTAAATCATTGTGTTTGTTGTGTATTAATGAAAAATATATAAATATATCCAGTGTAGAAATGTTCGAAAGCAAAACCACTTCACAGGAATCGTCCTTCCGCTCTTAGTGTTATGCACAGAATTTAGCAAATTGAACACACTCGTGAAACGCACACAGCTTCATAAACAGGGCTCGAGCTCTGTTATTGTTATTGTTTACGATTCACCTGGTGTGTTCAATTGTTAAAGTCTGCTCACCACAACTGCATGGACATACAAAATATAGTGTATGTATGTTTGCTTTTGGACATTTTTACTCTGAATTTTCTGGATTTTAGTTTTAATATTTTTCATTAATTCACAACAAAATTGCCACTTTTCCTAAGTATTAAGAATACTGTTTGTGTCTCATTTATAATTAAAGATTTTCTAAAAATTATAATTACTAGTAACAATTACAGTCCATGTTTTATGTGCTCACAATCTACGTTGCTAATTAGACTTTATTCTAGTATGAAAACCTGCTCGTTATCTTCATATTTCATGGAAACGTTTCATTGAAATCTTAAAAATGCATAGTTTGTGAGCAATAATTTAACACCAAATTCAGGATGGTGAAAGTAAATTTTTTATTTGTTTTGAATATGAATTAAATATTAATATGTTTATGTCTGGATCAAAGCATTTTATTACAAGCATTTGCATATCCATATATATCTGTACATAGTATGATATCCTTGTTTTAATTAGTTAAATATTAGCACTTTCAATGAAAACATTTGATTTGATTTTTTTCATTAGAGAGGGAACATGTGGACCCTCCTGACTGGCGCCATTGCAGGACTTGTCGGTGCTACGTACCTTGGCATCAAATACTGGTCGCCATGGATCAAATACGACCTAGAATTTTTCTGGTCTGTTGTCTTTAATTATTTAATCCCAATGACAAAAGAAATCAAAAACGGCAAGCTGCCCATCAACCGATTTGAAGAAACCGTGGAGAAGCATGGGAACAAAGTAATGCTCATATATGATAATAAATCATTTACATACAACGTAGGGAATGCCAGGTCAAACAAAATTGCCAGTGCTGCACTCAGTCTTGATTTGAAGAGAGGAGATGTTGTGGCAATCATCCTGTCAAATGAACCCGATTTTATCTGGACATTTATAGGTAACTTTTCAATATTAGCTCCTTTGTCTATCGTTGTCTACAATTAATTAGTATATATGAAGTAGATGTTAACAGATATTAAACAAATTTCAGGTTTGCAGAAGATAGGAGTTCAGATGGCCTTCATCAATTATAATCTCAGAAATGAATCTTTAGTTCACGTTATCAAAGTTGCAGAGCCAAAAATGATATTCATTTCCAGAGGTAAGTTTAATTATGTATTTCAACTTTTCACCATATTTTGACGAACTAACTGGTCTCAAAAATTTTGTTCCTCTATGTTTGTTCACAAAATGAGAAACTAATTTTAAGTATTTAAGCGATGTCAACGAATATTCGGGTATTTATTTCATCAGTTGATATTAAGCAAATGGATTCGAATATTTAGGGGTTTTTAAAAAAAATTTTTTTCAAATTTGACCCATAAGATAACCAATTAACAAATTTTAATTGGAACAGTTTCGGAATTATTTCTATTTTATTTAATTGAAATCAAGTTTGAGCATTGATTTCTTTCTTTACTTTTTGTGTCACCTGCAGAACAAAGCGGTACTAAGGGATCACTTTATCTGGCGTCTCTTTGTCTGTCAGTCTGTCGCACCTTTATAGGTTACCACCTAATACATTCTGGATATAATCCTTTCATGTCAATATTTTTCTAGAAAAACCTCCCCCAAAAATCTCAATATTTAATAACTAACAAGGTTTTCTTTCTTCGAAAATAAACAGTTTTCAAGCTAAAATGTTCTTTAAACAATACAAAATAGGAGCAGAGCAAACACGGACCTCCGAAACATCAGAGATGGGATCAGGTGCCATGGAGAAGGTCCCCGCCGACCTGTCGCACCCGCCGTGTGCTCCTTGTCACGATAGAAAAACGAACTAAAAAATCAGTCGAAAATTCATTGTGTAAATAATGGCAAAACGATAAGTATGATTGAAAAAGTCTGTCAGCATATGACATAATGATAAATTGTATTTGCTGACATGGTCTTTAATTGTATCGATTATAGAACTTGCGAAATACTAACTTTAAACGAAACTTGTTTCATCAACTTGTTTGTCAATAACTTACCTCGTTTAAGAAATTGCTCATACGTAGAGCTTGCTCTTGCGTATCGAATCAACTGAGAGGTATAAACCCCGTATGCAATTGATGAAGGGATATTGCTGCATAAGTGAGGGAAGTTGACGATTTAAAAGTTAATGTCATCGCGTGTATCATGGTTGTTAGATGAACATTCATGTCTTTTTCAAGTAAAATGTCCAAATATGAAACAAATGTGTCAGACTCTGTGGTATCTTTTATTTCAAGCTCACCGGGATAAATATTATCGACATATAAAAGGGAAATAACCGTCGTTTTTTGACAATTCGTCTTTTACATATCTAAATGTCGAGTTGAACCCCACAGCAAGTGCTTTCTTTTGACGTATAAGATTTTTTTTTTACTATTTCTGCTTCAAATGAATACAAAAATAAGTCTACTAGTAGCGGGACGAACAAACACGAACTGCTGAAACCGCCGGTGAGAACAGATGCCATGACGGATTAAGCATCCCATGTCCACCTCACACTCGCCCTGTGCTCTTTGTAAGATCGGAAAAACGGAAAAATCTCTGAACGACTAGAGAAACAAGCAAATTCAAAGAATTGTGGTCCCCCGCTTTCGGTGTCTTTGTGGGTGAGATGTTATTTTTATGACATATTGTGTGTAATACAACATCTATCATATTTCATTTATTTAGAAAGTAACACTGAAGTTGATTTTTTTGAAGGATGAAAACCCTAATCCTGACCGTTAAAAAGTTATGGCCAAAGTAAAAAGTTTTTTAAAAGTAGGTCAAGATCAAAGGATCAAAGTTGTTGATATCCAATGAAAAGTTTTCTCACAAGGATTACATATGTGAAGTATGAAAGCCCTAGCCCTTACTGTTCAAAATGTTATGGTCAAGGTCAAAGTTTTTTCATAAGTACATAAATCTTTAAGGTCAAGGTCAAAAGGTTAAAGTTGTTGATATCCAATGAAAGGACTTGCCACAAAGAATACATATGTAAAATATAAAAGTCCTAGTGTCTACCGTTCAAAAGTTGTGACCAAAGTTAAATAAAGTAGTTAAAACTCCAATGTCAAGGTCAAAGGGTAAAAGTTATTGGTATCCAATGAAAGGTCTTCTCAAAAGGATCACATATGTGAAGTATAAAAGCCCTAGTCCTCACCGTTCAAAAGTTATGGTCAAGGTTAAAGTTTTTTCATAAGTAAATAAATCTCCAAGGTCAAGGTCAAAAGGTCAAGGTTGTTGGTATCCAATGAAATGTCTTGCCACAAGGAATACATATGTGAAATATAAAAGTCCTAGTATCTACTGTTTAAAAGTTGTAACCAAGGTTAAAGTTTTTAAAATGTAATTAAAACGTCAAGGTCAAAGGGCAAAAGTTATTGGTATCCAATGAAATGTATTCTCACAAGGATTACATATGTGAAGTACGAAAGCCTTCGTCCTCACCGTTCAAAAGTTATGGTCAAGGTTAAAGTTTTTCATAAGTACGTAAATCTCCAAAATTAAGGTCAAAAGGTCAAGGTTGTTGTTATCCAATGAAAGGTTTTGCCACAAACAATACATATGTGAAATATGAAAGTCCTAGTACCTACTATTAAAAAGTTATGGCCAAAGTAAAAGTTTGGAATTTTTGTGTAAAAGTGGGTCAAACTCCAAGGTCAAGGTCAAAAGGTCAAATTTGGTGGTACCCAAAGAAAGGTCTTGTCACAAAGAATACACATGTGAAATATGAAAGTCATAGCTCCACTAAATCAAAAGTTATGGGCAAGGTTAAAGTTTTTGTGACGGACAGACTGACGGACAGACGGACAGACAGACAGACGAATGAGATTTAATGTCCCCTCGCTTTCGCGAAAGCGGGGGACAAAAAATGTTTGTGTGAGGAACCTCAGTCAACATTGTATATAATGCAACATTGTGTTTGTTAAGAAGTTCTTTGTAAAGAATTTGCAATATGATGATTTTAATCGGGACTGTTTATATTTTGTTTTTGTCCCCCGCTTTCGCGAAAGCGAGGGGACATTAAATCTCATTCGTCTGTCTGTCTGTCCGTCAGTCTGTCCGTCAGTCTGTCCGTCAGTCTGTCCGTCACAAAAACTTTAACCTTGCCCATAACTTTTGATTACGTACTTATGAAAAATCTTTAACCTTGACCATAACTTTTGAAAGGTGGGGGCTAGGGCTTTCGTACTTCACATATGTTTTCCTTTTGAGAAGACCTTTCATTGGATACCAACAACTTTTACCCTTTGACCTTGGCATTGGAGTTTTGACTACTTTTAACTTTGAACACAACTTTTGAACGGTAAATACTAGGACTATTATATTTCAAATATGTATTCCTTGTGGCAAGTCCTTTCATTGGATATCAACAACTTTGATCATTTGACCTTGACCTTAAAGATTTACGTACTTATGAAAAAAACTTTAACCTTGACCATAAATTTTGAACAGTAAGGGAATCATACTGCACATATGTAATCCTTGTGATTGGATATCAACAATTTTGACCCTTTGATCTTGACTTGTTGACCTATACTTTTTACTTTGGCCATAACTTTTTAATGGTCAGGATTAGGGTTTTCATCATTCAAAAAAATCAACTTCAATGTTATGTCAACTTATTTTCAATAGTTTGCCTTGTTTCAGAAATTGTTCGTACGGAGAACATGCTCTTTATATCGAATCAAGAGACATAAACGCCATATGCAAGTGATAACATTACATGTATATTGCTTCAAAGTAGAATATTATACATTTATTAACTGAGTGCGAGGGCAACATGCGTTTTGTCGTACCCAAGAACCAAACTGTTTGCCTGAGGCAGTTAGGCCGAAGGCAGACAGTTTGGTTCGAGTGTCGACAAAACGCATTTTGCCCGAGAACATACTCAATAAATGTTTTGTTATACCTTTCATTTTAATTTTTTTGGACATACATGTATTTTGTGAGTGTCTTCCGTGATGTAACCTCAGGTCAGTCACTTTTGAACACCAAAAAAAAAGTGAAAATGAGATTAAGCTCCGCCCATTCTGTGACGTAAGCGGTCTAACATCTCAACAACGCCATAGGACCTGACAACATTAGTCATAAAATGTTAAACGCTGCCATTTTTAGCGTCTCTTTTCGTTTGTGTATTTTGTTTAATCTTTAAAGGGGCATGGACACAATTTCAACTATTTTTTTTCAACTACATTAAATGTTTACTTTACAAATCCTAACTAAGGCAACTTTTAATGATCAGCAAATATTTGAACATCATTTGTTGATTAACAAACGAGATCCAGAACTTAGAGTTCATCATAATGTTAACAAGGCCCGTGCCTTGTTTTTGTTTACATATAGGAAATATCATATTTTTAACAAATTGAAATTAAGTAAATTATCAGAAACTGTTGAATCATATTTAGAAGTAACTTCTTTATTGAAATTATCTGCTTTGAACGAATACATAAAAATATATACGAGAGTTGATCCAAAAGTTCGTGGAATTTCTTCATATTTTATTTATTTTTAAGTGAAATTGGTTGAAAATTACAAATAAGAATATAGACACTTCTTAAATATTTTAAATTAAACAAGAGGCCCATGGGCTACATCGCTCACCTGAGCACCAAGGGTAGGACTAGTATAAAATGGCTTTTTATTGTAAAGTTTAAATCCAAAAGTAGTCCCATGACCAATCATGGATTTGCTATTTTTTAGAAAATGATTGAGAAGAAGATTTTTAAAGAATTTTCCTATATATTTCTATGTAAAACTTTGGTCAGCCATTTTGGCCCCGCCCTACCCCCGGGGGTCATGATTTGAACAAAAATGAATCTACACTACCTGAACATGCTTCCATATAAATATGATGAATATGGCTTTGTCATTCTTGAGATGAAGATTTTTATATAATTTTCCTATATATTTCTATGTAAAACATTGGTCGGCCATTTTGGCCCCGCCCTACCCCCCGGGGTCTTGATTTGAACAAACTTGAATCTACACTACCTGAGCATGCTTTCATATAAATATGATGAATTATGGCTTTGTCATTCTTGAGAAGAAGATTTTTAAAGAATTTTCCTATATATTTCTATGTAAAACCTTGGTCGGCCATTTTGGCCCCGCCCTACCCCCGGGGGTCATGATTTGAACAAACTTGAATCTACACTACCTGAACATGCTTCCATATAAATATGATGAATAATGGCTTTGTCATTCTTGAGAAGAAGATTTTTAAAGAATTTTCCTATATATTTCTATGGAAAACATTGGTCGGCCATTTTGGCCCCCGCCCTACCCCCGGGGGTCATGATTTGAACAAACTTGAATCTACACTACCTGAGCATGCTTCCATATAAATATGATGAATTATGGCTTTGTCATTCTTGAGAAGAAGACTTTTAAAGAATTTTCCTATATCTTTCTATGTTAAACTTTGGTCTGCCATTTTTGCCCCGCCCTCACCCCTGGGGTCATGATTTGAACAAACTTGAATCTACACTACCTGAGCATGTTTCCATATAAATATGATGAATTATGGCTTTGTCATTCTTGAGAAGAAGATTTTTAAAGAATTTTCCTATATATTTCTATGTAAAACTTTGGTCGGCCATTTTGGCCCCGCCCTTACCCGGGGGTCATGATTTGAACAAACTTGAATCTACACTACATGAGCATGCTCCCATATAAATATGATGAATTATGGCTTTGTCATTCTTGAGAAGAAGATTTTTAAAGAATTTTCCTATATATTTCTATGTAAAACATTGGTCGGCCATTTTGGCCCCGCCCTACCCCCGGGGGTCATGATTTGAACAAACTTGAATCTACACTACCTGAGCAGGTTTCCATATAAATATGATGAATTATGGCTTTGTCATTCTTGAGAAGAAGATTTTTAAAGAATTTTCCTATATATTTCTATGTAAAACTTTGGTCGGCCATTTTGGCCCCGCCCTTACCCGTGGGGTCATGATTTGAACAAACTTGAATCTACACTACATGAGCATGCTTTCATATAAATATGATGAATTATGGCTTTGTCATTCTTGAGAAGAAGATTTTTAAAGAATTTTCCTATATATTTCTATGTAAAACTTTGGTCGGCCATTTTGGCCCCGCCCTACCCCCGGGGGTCATGATTTGAAAAAACTTGATTCTACACTACCTGAGGATGTTTCCCCGTAAGTTTCATCTTTCCTGGCACAGTGGTTCTTGAGAAGAAGATTTTTAAAATATACCACTAAATTTTCATTAATTCCCAATTATCTCCCCTTGAATAAGGGCGTGGCCTTTCATTTGAACAAACTTGAATCCCCTTCACCCAAGGATACTTTGTGGCAAGTTTGGTTGAAATTGGCCCAGCGGTTCTTGAGAAGAAGTCGAAGATGTGAAAAGTTTACAGACAGACAGACGGACAGACAGACGGACAGACGGACACCGGACAAAATGTGATCAGAAAAGCTCACTTGAGCCTTCGGCTCAGGTGAGCTAAAAACATTTGAAATTTTAATGATAGTAACTATATGGCAGTTGCCATAGAAACGGTTGTTTGGAAATGCGGGGGAGACATTAACGTGTTTATTATTATTTTTTAGCTCACCTCAACGAAGTTGGGGGAGCTTATGTAATACCCTCGGCGTCGGTGTCGGCGTCGGCGTCCCGGGTTAAGGTTAAGTTTTTTGGAGCAGTTTTCTTTTTAAGTACTTCTATGTCCTATATTGATTAGACATGCATGGAAGATGGTTCTAGTGTGTTTCATTGTACCAGTCAAAGTTTCAGATGCTGCAATTTTAGCAAAGGAATGACCAGGTTAATGTTTTTGGAGCAGGTTAACATTTTTGGTGCAGTTTTTGGTGTAGGTTTCATTTCCAAGTAGCTATAAGCCCTATGTTAACCAAACATGCATGGATGATACATCTAAGGATGCATACTACCGGGCTTGCTTCGGATGCTGAATCTGACCTACTTTTTCCGGTTGAGTGAACAGGTTAAAGTTTTTTGGTGCAGGTTTCATTTCCAAGTATCTGTAAGTCCTATGTTGACCAAACTTGCATGGATGATACATCTAAGGATGGATACAACCAGGCTTGCTTTGGATGCTGAATCTGACCTACATTTTCCGGTTGAGTGAACAGGTTAAAGTTTTTGGTGCAGGTTTCATTTCCAAGTATCTGTAAGTCCTATGTTGACCAAACTTGCATAGATGATACATCTAAGGATGGATACTACCAGGCTTGCTTCGGATGCTGAATCTGACCTACATTTTCCGGTTGAGTGAACAGGTAAAGTTTTTGGTGCAGGTTTCATTTCCAAGTAACTATAAGCCCTATGTTGACCAAACTTGCATGGATGATACATCTAAGGATGGATACAACCAGGCTTGCTTTGGATGCTGAATCTGACCTACATTTTCCGGTTGAGTGAACAGGTTAAAGTGTTTGGAGCAGGTTTCATTTGCAAGTAACTTTAAGCCCTATGTTGACCAAACTTGCATGGATGATAAATCTAAGGATGCACACTACCGGGCTTCGGATGCTGAATCTGACCTACATTTTCCGGTTGAGTGAACAAGTAAAAGTTTTTGGTGCAGGTTTCATTTCCAAGTAACTATGAGTTCTTTAATGACCAATCTTGCATGGATGATGCATCTTAGGATGCATACTACCAGGCTTGCTTCGGATGCTGAATCTGACCTACATTTTGTGGATGAGTGAAAATGTTAGTTTTTGATGTATGTTTCATTTCCAATTAACTATGAGCCTTATAATGTGCAAACTTGCATGGACGATACATCTTAGGATGCACACTAATGGACTTGCTTCGGATGCTGAATTCGACATATATATTTTTCAGATAATAGACCAGGTTAAAGTCATGGTTGCAGGTCTATTACCAAAAAACTTTAAGGCTTTTATAACATTGTATAAACCAAACTTGCACAAATGTTGCATCAAGAGATGAAAACTCAAATTTGCTTTAGATGCTGAATTACATTTTCATGAAGAACTACTTTAAATTTTTTATGTTGCTCTACTTCAAAGTATCAGATCAAAATTGCTTAGATGTTTTCATTTTTGGAACGTACATTTTTTGTTGGTTAATTGTGTGACTTTGCCTTATTTAAAGACAACATTCGTTGAGGTGAGCTCTGTAATCTCTGATTACCTATGTTTATTCTTTATACTTGAAATGAGAATAAAACCGCCCTATGTGGTATATAAAACGAAAATTATGTCATTATTACGATTGCTTGATCTTTTATAAACCCTTTGTTTGAGAGTTTTACTGATTTTAATGGATATTTAGTTTATTAGTTGATGATTTATTGTTATCTTTAAGTTGATAGACAACGTCAAATTTCGGTCAAGTCATACGTTTTGTGAAAATTCCGGGATCACTCTGTCTAAAACGCGTATATTATTGAAATAAACTAGGTAAAATGCAGATAGTTACCGGTTTTCCAGTGGCATAAGAAATTTAAGAAACATAGAACTGTCATGGACGTTGATAAAAGATGTGACTGCTTTTTGAAAGCTCTGTTTTAAGTATTTACCCCCTAAAGACCAATTAAAAGCGTTAATAGACGTTTTCGGCTGACGTACTGGTCTTGACATTGCTACTGAAATTGGAGCATCATATGGAAAGATTGGGAGTATTTTGAAATATGAGTGAAAAATGAAGATAAGTTGATGCGACAGGTTTCCCAGGCTTTTCTTTGAGAAAACGAAATGGAGAAAATGGCAGCGTTTTGTAGAATTACGTATTCGAATTAGACATTAGTGTGAGATGCTTCTGTAACGTGACGAGACATACCTAACTTGACGTAACGTCGAAGTCTCCCCCGGGTTTCACAACTATCCATTTTTCAGTTAGTAATTGGAAAGTGGGGAAATTTTCCAATATTGTTGCATTATGACTCTATATTATAAATATGGCTGTTGTTTGCTTTCATCAAATCACGATAAAATTTTAGAAAGAAATTCCACGAACTTTTGGATCAACCCTCGTAACCTATATAAACAAAAACATGTCATGGACCTTGTTTACATAACAAAGGTTTGGAGCTCTAAATCTGTCTTGTATCTCGACAACTGACGTCCAAATTTTTGATGATCATTAGAAAGACTTCAGTTAAATATTTGTAAAAATGGAAAACTTAATTTTATTTTTTTTTAACTGAAGCTGTGTCCATGCCCCTTTAAGAATTGATAATTCTTACATAAGAGGCCCTTGATCACTGTAGAATTTGTATCCATAATGACAAATGCAAGTATTTGGTGTAAGTTGTAGAATCATTATGGCTTCTTCCCAGATTACCCAAATATGAAAAAACTGCATATCGAGGCACACACCTTATTGCGAATATGACTGTCTTATGACATCATGTAGTTTTTCTTTCTTAAATAAAATGTCTAATATTGCTTTTCAGATACTGGTCTTCAAAGCCCGGTTTCTGAAATCTACCATGAGCTGAATGGGATACCCGTATATCACTTTGGAGAATCTAGTGATTCCAATTTTATTCCCATTGACCCAATCATTGAAAAATCATCAAATGAGAATGTCGGCGAAGACATTCGTAAATTCATCAGAATGAAAGACAACAGTCTCTACATTTACACCTCTGGGACAACGGGTGAAGTTTACATTCGTCACTAAATTTCATGATTGTTAGTTTTGTTCTTTTTTTTTATTAAAAAAAAACTAAAATAGAAGTAAAACTTTCCACATAACAGGTCTGCCGAAAGCTGCATACATTCCAACAGAAAAGCTTGTGAAAGCTGCCTGGAGTATGGCCATACAAAATCTGACTCTGGACGATATCGTGTACACGGCCCTACCTCTGTACCACTCCTCTGCTTCTCTCATTGCTCTCGGCAACGTTTTACGCACAGGTCCGCTTGATTTAAATTTATTTTTAGAGTTAAAATATTTGTTTTAAAATTTAAAAAAAAATAATTTTGTATTTAGGAAAATTCAGATTTCCATTCAATGTATGACTTACTCAATTTAGGTGCAACTTTGGTACTCAAAAAGAAATTTTCTGCGTCTCGGTTTATCAGCGACTGTCGAGAGCACAACGTTACAGTCGTGCACTATGTTGGTGAACTTCTTCGTTATGTGGCTGCGACACCTCCAGTAAGTATTTTGTAGAACAAAAATTTCCTAAAAAGTGGAAATATTTAGTCTAACCTTTAAATGATACACATTTCTTGACCCAAGTGTAAAAAGAAACTAAAAACTACAATGAAGCGCATTGAAGTGGTAAAATTTTCCGTTTGGATAATACGTTCTGAGTCATGTTTTGAACGTCAATTATAACATTATGACACGCCCATTTCTTTAGAAACGAAAAAGAAACATTCGTCGTAATGTTTTAGGACACCCCACTCTTCGTGACAAGCAACATGAGTTTCACTGAAATGGAGATTTTTAAAATTTTAGCCCTCATCTGTAAAACACGTAATTACAACGAATTTGTACATAATTATGATTTTATCATGTTTATTGGAGTTACCATAACACAACGTATCGGTCGAACACGTGCAAACTCGGTGTTTATGTGGACCGTCAATTTGATTGACTATTATATTTATGGAATACCTGTAGTTTCTCCTTTCTAAAGAAATGGGTGTGTCATTATATGACAATCAACTTCTAAAGATAGCTCAAAACGTTCCATCCAAACGGAAAATTTTACCACTCCAATGCGCTTCATTGTAGCTCTAGTGTGTTTTATCTCTATTTTTTTTCAAATTGTTTATTATTTCTCTAGTAATTCGTCAACATTTCAAACGTTGAATGTCTTATTTCTGTGTAAGTGTCAAAGATTTTGACGGCTTTGTATTCTAGAGATACATGTATTTGCATTGTGTTTCGTGAGAGACTGCTTGCAATTGATAGGCCAGTCATGAGATTTTTGGCCGTATTACACTTCTTTTTTACTACAATGAATCTCTGGAATTACTGAGAAGAAAGTTGGTGAACTGAAACATTATTTTAATTGTTTCTCGGAGTTTAACTTTTACTGCCCAGTTCTTCACAACCATCATTATTTGACTTTAAAGGACAGATGATACAAACTTTTGTCAAAAAATTTGAAATTAACAACTTGAATCATGTTTAAGTAAAATGAAACAAATTTATCCGTATAGTTTTTAATTCTTTATTCAAAGTTTCACAGAATTTGGATTTGAAGGGACAAAAATTTATATAGATTATGAAGGATGCGGTGAATGGTACAATTTTGCACATCATAGAAGGTTTACAATTTCTTTATATTTTAGAAATTTACTATTTGCATCATTTAAAACAGAAATAGGCCTAAACATATATACCTATCCAGACATCCATTTTTTTTTTGTATCATCTGTCCTTAATATATTCATGAATTTTCAAAGAATTGATTATTACTTTGCAATTTTGTGGATATAGCTTATACTTGACAAATGTATTGCCTCAAATATATAAAATTAATTTTTAACCTTTTATCACGTTAAAAAAAAGTCAAGTGAAAGTAGGGGGCATTGGGACATCTCTTGCTTGTCATATAATCCAGACACTTCTTAGACTGAAATAAAAGCGATTATTCAGCGATTTGATATTTCAGTGATAACTATGCGTGGTCGCACAGCAGAAGTCTCGTGTTTGTTTATTAATTATATTGTGGTCATTCAAGGACATAGCATCGTTTTTCAAAGTGGAAAGGGGAGGGGGCAGTCAGAAAAAAATCAACTTACCTGAAAAAAACTTGACAAGCAGGAAAAGGAAAACTTCATACTCGAAAGTTCGGGGGGAGGAGGTTAGGATTGGACATCTTTCAGTACCATTTTTTTCCCCTTATCCTACTCCATTACCCTCATTTTACTATACTGCAACAAAAAGTGGCGGAAGGGCATGAAAAAAAGCCCTCCACCCCTCCTTTGATGTTATCTTCCTGTCATCTCTGGTCTGAAGAGAATAAACAATCATAAAATCTCTTTTGCATGCGTATACATGTAATGCCCACTGTCTTTTTAAATGTATTGGAGTTTTAAGAGGATTTTTAATAAAATTGTATGTAATATCAAAAGAAAAGACAATATATTTGTTTCGAATTTAGATTTTTAAAGTTAATATTAACTTGTATCGTATCTTGAATTAAGTAAAAGGATTAAGCATTTTTTCGCTTTTAAAATCTGTACATGTGTATCCTTTTTATCAAGACAAGTGCTGTAATATTACAGAGTAGTTCTGATACAGACCACTGCATCAGATGTGCCTTTGGAAATGGATTGAGGAAAGATGTTTGGAATATCATGTTGGAAAGGTTCAAAATACCACATATATATGAGTTTTATGCAGCCACTGAAATGCCTGTAGGACTTGCAAACATACACAACATAGTAGGAGCTGTAGGACGTATGTCGCCACTGCTGGTAAGACAGTTTATCACTACGCTTAAAAAAAGCGGGCACAATTTGACACAGACGTTTGAGATAATATTGGATTGAAATTCTATAGTTTGAAGTTGATTTTCAATCCTTTGTCTTTGCAATCTGGCATGATATCCCAGTTTATAGTAAGAGAAATAATACAATTTTAGCAACATAATATGTAATTGCAACATGTAAATTATATAACTTTATTATACACTGTAGAAATTCTCTCTTCCATGTGAATTTGTCCTATATGACAAGGAGAACGAAGACGTATTGAGAAATAAGGATGGATTGTGTGTGTTGGCGCCATTGGGTAAATGATATTCATTTTGAAACAAAAAAACTTAGGAAAGCAATAAATGAAACACTTCCATTTTTATTGTTTTATTTAAAAAATATCTTTAGCATAATTATTTCAAGAGAGTGACTAACCCTGTCCATGATATGGTTCCTTTTTTTTTTTTAATATAAAATAAGGATGTCGTTTCAGTCACTTTCCAACATTACTAAGTGATGCGCATCAAGAACATATAAATGCCATGGATCATTATTGTCAAGGAAATTTTGTTTTCTATTGGGTTTTGCTCTTTCCTTCTAATTCTGATAATTATAAAAATCGATACAAGAAAGCATTGATGTAACCATCAATTGTCGCCCGGGAAATAAATAAAGTAAACAATGTAAATTAGTCTTGATAATCAAAACGCTTCGATTTCTGTGATAAAGGCATGCATCTGAATGATGGAGAGTACATGTATAGTCAAAAAGCTTTTAAATATATGAAAATCAAAAACAACAATAACAACAACAAAAAACAATATATCCTTTGGTATTGTAGTTTGTTCAAAGTATGACCCTATTATCCAGGGATGAAGGGGAGGCAAAACAAATCCATGATTATTTATATTGCATGTACTACAGAAGCATCCACAGTTCATGTAGATTCGAATTAGTTCAAATTTACGGTGGGTAGGTGGGGGCTGCAATAAACATTCCGAGTTTTACAAAGTAAAACGTCTTTAAAAATCTGAAATTCTTAAAAAGAATTCATTAGACATACATGTAGACATTAGTATAGTCTACTTGTCAACGCCGTTCATCAAAATAAACAAAAAACCTGTTACACAGAATTATGTATCTTAAAAGGTATAGGCTATTTGAAAGTTGTCTAAGAAAGTAGTTTTTGAAAGTACTGCAGTATATCACAAAAATAATATTTTTCGTAAATGGCAAAACCTTCACCGAATTAAAAACGATAGTCTTTTTGTTAGTTTCGTTATAATGAAATCAGAACAATACTGTGTGAGGAGTATCATTTAGAAAGTATTTCACAATGCATGTAATTTTTATTTTTTTATTAACCATGGCAACATCTTTCATCAAAATAAAAAAGAAACAATACACAGAATATATGTGTATCATTGTGTAATTAATTATATTGAAATCAGAATATCACTGTAGGATAGGAAGCATTTTGTAAAAATAAAAAAAAAAGCTTTAAAAAGCATTAGCTCCTGTGGTCTCTGACCAGTAGAACAAATATGAAAAAAAAGATGATTAATGGAAAGGTTTCTATAAACTGTAATAAACAAAACACGCTATATAAAACAACATGAAAAAGTAAAATTAAAAAGTAAAATCATAAAGAAGAAAGGAATAGGTTGTTTTGAAAATGTTGTATAAGTTTTGATCTAAATCAGTCAGGGAAAATACTCTAAAAAGAGCTTCAGATATATCTTAAGCAAATTATAATGCACTATTAAGAAAAAGGAACTGTTGTACTTAATAATTTTAAAAAAAATCTAAAATAATCCAAGGTTTATGTTACCATTTTAATGAAAAGTGATTATGCTTTATTGATATAAAAAAAACAAATGTCAAGCTATTTAACAATTAGGCTAACTGTATTTCATGAAATGCCAACCGCAAAAAACTGACTAACTGCGATATAATATTTCTTTTCAAATCAAAAAGACCTTTACGAGTAATAATATTTTCCATTGAAAATGATTTTCAAAAAACTTTTGAATTAGATTTTTGTGTAGTCTGTAGCCAACGTCTGAGCCAGATTTAGCTACCACCGATAGAAGGAGGTGGTGATATAATTTGTGATGCTACTCTATTCTTTTCGTTAAAAGGGCAGTCGGGCCATAAAATCAAATTAAAAATATAGAAACACATCATTGTACAAGTTTTCTTCACTGAATTTGTATTTAAATAATTGTAAGAAATAATCAGAAATGTCTGAGGTGGGATTTTAAAAATCTTGACATTTATACAAATTAAAAAAAGTTTTTTGAAACAATAACAAATAACATAACAACTGATTCTATAATTAATAATACCATATCATTAAAAAAACTTCATTTAAAAATCACATATTGAAAATGAAAAAAAATAAATACTTGTGATCATAACAAGATTTTATATAAAAAAAAAAGGAACTTAATTTACAAATACATGTAAATTAGATTATTTTCAAATTACTTATAAAGTGCATTGAAATAGGTGACAACGTATGAAGCAATAAATTATTGCAAAGCAAATATTTGTAAAGTTCTTCTCAACTTAGGGTTAAATTATTTTATAATATTGGCATTATAATGATAACTGAACTTCACACTTTTAATGCTCTGATACAGGATGTTAAAAAAGGTATTATTCTCTATGGATCATTCAAGAGAGAGGCAGCCAAGTGGGTCATCAGCAATTAGTTATATTGTTTAACGTCCCTCTTGAGAATTTTTCACTCATTTGGAGACGCCAGGAGTGGGAGGGGTAACGAAAATCGAACGCTATTTAAATGTATCTTGTAGTATTTTGTTTGTATGTTTTTTTTTTTACTTTTGTAGAAACTCCTGGATTGCTGTTAATAAAGTTAGACGAAAGGCGTCGGATGACGTTCGAGGGGTATAAAGGCAAGGAATCCGAGAGAAACAAGAAACTGGTGTATAATGTGGTTCGACAAGGAGACTGCTACATTAATACCGGGGACGCATTTACTCGTGATAAAGACTACTTTGTCTATTTTTCTGACAGATTAGGCGACACATTCAGGTTTAGTGTACACCAAATAATAATGAATCATATTTCTTTGGAAAATGTTTGCAGAGATTCAAAAATTTCAGATTATTCTTATACATTGTAGTAACTTGATTGTTTCCGATGACTAATTTGTACGTTCTTGGGTGCTTGAAGTTGATAAAAACGGTTATATGTAACACATTTCTATTTCATAAATAGATGGAAAGGAGAAAATGTATCAACAACAGAAGTTGCTAACATTCTAATGGAACTTGAGTTGGTCTCGGACATTTGTGTTTATGGTGTAGAAATCGGAGGTTTGTTCATTAATTTTGTTATTTTGATAGTTCAGTTAATTATTCTAAAGGATATATATTTTCCTACTTTATATAACATATTTTGAAAAACACACATTAAGAAAAAATATCAATAGGTTGAACTTGTAGTTACGAATGCTAACTCGATTCCCAGCTACATTTTATACTCATCTTATTCAATATACAGTGAAACTTGTCTGATATGGGTATTGAGAATTCGAAAATCTTGTCTAATATGGGCGTTTACTTTAAATCCTTTTTCAAAACCCCCAATAGATAAAAATGTTTCCTAAAATCGGTATATTGTCTAATCCAGTTGATATCTATGAGTCAGTTATGTCCGGATTAGACTTTTGAAGTTATTACAGTAAATTACATTTTGGCAATTAAAACTTATTTGAAAGAAAAAGAAATCATTAGCAGTTGTTAAACCTATGTTAATTTAATCATAAAAGATTGATAATTCAAGTACAATTTTTTTTACATTTGTTGACTCATATAAAATCGGTTAAAGATTACTAGTAACTATATTTGCTTTATTTTGTCTGTAATATATGTTTCCTCCAGCGGAACACAAATATCTTTATAAATATGAAAATACCATTCAGATGTATTTCTTTTGAAAATGACTTGGAAGTTGTCGACAGAACAATGCTTCCTGACATATATTTTCATAAAACAACCACACAAAACGAATTTATCTGGGAACTTATATTAGTAAGAATTAATAAAAGTTTTTAAAGAAGAAATATAACTCTTTTTTTTTTTCAAAAATACATAGCTGAAAAGTTTTACATTGGAGTACATAGGATGAATCATTGAAAATCTCTTCATAAATGGCAAAGCAGTTAATACTTACATTCATATGGAAGCTTACTCATATAGTGTAGATTTAAAATTGTTTAAATATGCATGACCCCTGGGTGTAGGGTTGGACAGCAATGAGCCATCGAAAGTTTACACTGGAATTTATATTGGGAAATCCTCTCAAAAGCAGCAATGCAATGATTATTAGTTATATTAATCTGAAAGGGTCCTTAGGTAATGCTTTTTGTGCAAATGACACCGCCCTCCCCGGGTAGAGTCATTATGATACATTTTACAAACTGAAATTTGAGTTGTTATTATAAGTCACATTGTGTCTAGTTATCATATCATTATATTACCTTTTAAAATTTCAGTTATGAAATTACTAGTATTTGAACGGTTGGCTGTCTGAAAAACCTTGATTCGAAAATAAATGAAGCAGTATGAAACTATAGTTTTACAAGTCAACTCTAAATTCAATATTTTAGATAATGAAGGTAAAGCTGGGATGGCAGCCTTAACATTGAAAACTCAACCAGAAAATCTCAGTTTAAATGTAGAACAATTAAAATCGATTGCTCAACACTGTGCTCAGCAATTGCCTGCATACGCTAGACCAAGGTTTATACGAGTTGTAAAGGAGTTCGTTTACACCAGTACCTTCAAACAGAGCAAACTAAAGTTGAAGGAGGATGGATACGATTTGAGGAAAATGTCCTCTCCTGTATATTTCCTTGATTGCAAGGAGAATGTTTACAAACAGATGACGCCAGAGATACAAATGGACATTGACTCTGGGAAAATTAAGATGTAGAAAATTGATGTAGAATTGATAAAAAAAAATGTATCTGAATATGATTATTGAAGCAGATGAATGTTTGTGGTATAAGTTTTCTATTTTTCTATATTCATTTTTTGAATTTAAGAAATTTTCTATTTACTTATACCGTAGGGAACCTTTTTATGTATACTCATACGTTAAAATTTTCCTCGCAAAAGTGACCAAATGTTCACAGGTTTTCTGTTTTTTTTCTATAGAATTTATGAAAAGTCTTCATTTATACGACTTTAAGAAAGATCTTATCTATTAATATGCACTTCTGAAATGTATATTTGTATATAAAAGTGATTGAATGATAGATTAAAACTATTTTTAAAAACTTAAGTTCAGAAGGATTTAAAAAAAAAGAAAGAGAGAATAAGAATTAATTTTGTTACATTGTGTTAAAAAAACAGATTGAGAACTTTCAGACTGATACAACTGTTTTTAGCTCAGTCACCTCAACGAAGTTGGGGGGGCTTATGTAATACCCTCGGCGTCGGCGTCGGTGTCGGCGTCGGCGTCCCAGGTTAAGGTTAAGTTTTTTGGAGCAGTTTTCTTTTTAAGTACTTCTATGTCCTATATTGATTAGACATGCATGGAAGATGCTTCTAATGTGTTTCATTGTACCGGTCAAAGTTTCAGATGCTGCAATTTCACCAAAGGAATGACCAGGTTAATGTTTTGGAGCAGGTTAACATTTTTGGTGCAGTTTTTGGTGTAGGTCTCATTTCCAAGGAACTATCAGCCCTATGTAGACCAAACTTGCATGGATGGTACATCTAAGGATGCACATTACCAGGCTTGCTTCGGATGCTGAATCTGACCTACATTTTCCAGTTGAGTGAACAGGTTAATGTTTTTGGTGCAGGTCTTGTTTTCAAGTAACTATAAGCCCTATGTTGACCAAACTTGCATGGATGATACATCTAAGGATGTACACTACCAGACTTGCTTCGGATGCTGAATCTGACCTACATTTTCCGGTTAAGTGAACAGGTTAAAGTGTTTGGTGCAGGTCTCATTTCCAAGTAACTATAAGCCCTATGTTGACCAAACTTGCATGGATGATGCATCTAAGGATGCACATTACCAGGCTTGCTTCGGATGCTGAATCTGACCTACATTTTCCGGTTGAGTGAACAGGTTAAAGCTTTTGGTGCAGTGTTCATTTCCAAGATACAATGAGCCCTATAATGACCAAACTTGCATGGATGGTACAACTAAGGATGCACAATACCAGGCTTGCTTCGGATGCTGAATCTGACCTACATTTTCTGGTTGAGTGAACAGGTTAATGTTTTTGGTGCAGGTTTCATTTTCAGGTAACTATAAGCCCTATGTTGACCAAACTTGCATGGATGGTACATCTTAGGATGCATACTACCAGACTTGCTTCGGATGCTGAATCTGACCTACATTTTCTGGATGAGTGAACAGGTTAAAGTTTTTGATGCAGGATTCATTTCCAAGTAACTATGAGCTCTTTAAAGACCAAACTTGCATGGATGATACATCTAAGGTTGCATGCATTCTACAAGGCTGGTTTCAGATGCTGAATCTGACCTACTTTTTTTTTTGGATGAGTGAAAAGGTTTAATTTTTATGCAGATTTCAAGTAACTATTAGCCATATGTTGTGCACACTCGCATGGATGATACATCTTAGGATGCATACTAATGGACTTGCTGAATTCGACATACATTTCCAGATAATGGACCAGGTAAAAGTTATGGGTGCAGGTCTATCACCAAGAAACTATAAGGCTTAGATAAACCAAACTTGCCCAAATGATGCATCAAGGGATGGAAACTCTTAAACTAGCTTGCTTCAGATGCTGGATTTTGATCACATTTTCGTGAAGAAGAACTAGTTTGAAGTTTTTATATAGGTCTATTCCAAAGTTTTAGATCAAAATTTCATAAATTTTGCATTTTTGGATGTACACTTTTTGTTGGGTAATTTTGTGACTTTGCCTTACTTAAAGACAACATTCGTTGAGGTGAGCTCTGTAATCTCTGATTACCTATGTTTAATACTTGTATACTAAACATAACATTCAGGGATATCTGGGCTGTAGTACGGGGCTGTCCTGTTTTTCTGAACGTAGATTTTAACCATAAAAAATACTTGTATAGAGATTTTCAAGAAAAGGCTTTTTATCCCTTCCCAAAATTTTGATACATGCTGCCAAGCCCTTCTCACCCCGTGTCACCTACCCCAACAAAATAAAATTTAGACTGGAGAGAAATCTCAAAAGACTTTTGGCTTGTCGTTTTTAGCTCTACAGAGCCCAGAAGAGCTTATGCGATAGTAAGGTGTCGGTCGTCCGTCCGTCTGTCTGTCTGTCCGTAATTTTTTTTTTCAAAATGCTACTCCTCCTACAGTTTTGGTCTGATTTCAATATAACTTGGCACTAAAGTAGACTACACTAAGATACATAATTTAATGCATCGGTTTTTGATTTCAATGAACAGTGTTGCTATGGTAGCTTAAAATAGAAATTCCTTTAAAACGTTACTCCTCCTACAGTTTTGGTCTGATTTTAATATAACTTAGCACACAAGTAGACGACACTAAGGTACATAATGTAGTGCATCAGTTTTTGATTTCGGTGAATGGCTGTGCCATGGTTACTAAAAATATTAATTTCTGTGACATTCCTTGAAAACGGTACTCCTACAGTTTTGGTCTGATTTCAATATAACTTGGCACACAAGTAGACTACACTAAGATAAATAATTTAGTGTATCGGTTTTTGATTTCGATGAAGGGTGTTTCCTTGGTTACTGAAAATAGAAATTGAGAAATTCCTTTAAGATGCTACTCCTCCTACAGTTTTGGTCTGATTTCTATATAACTTGGCACACAAGTAGACTACACTAAGATACATAATAAATTGCATCGGTTTTTAATTTGGATGAACGGTAGTGCCATGGTTACTAAAAATAGAATTGTTACTACAAAAAGAAATTTCTGTGAAATTCCTTTAAAACGAACTCATTGTACAATTTTGGTCTGATTTCAATATAATTTGGCACACAAGTAGACTACACAAATATACACAATTCTATTTATTTCTGCCTGTTGAAAAGTCAAATCCAAGTGCTACTTTTCCTTTTATACACGTACAGACCAGTAGACCTACAGTCTCAGCAGAGACTTCTGGTTTACTTGTGTGTTTCATGAGTCCAAAACTCTCTTTGGGCATACCAATATTATTATTTTTTGAGAAGACCTCGAGTTTGGCCGATGAAAAAAGTTAATCTTTGCCATAACCTTTGAACGATAGAAGCTTGTACTTTCCTATATATATCAAGTGATCACTATGAAAACTTTGATTTACTATAGTGATACATGTATCAATGCAAACTTTGATTTACTACAGTGAAAACTTTTACACTATGAAACTTTGATTTGCTTTAGTGATCACTATGAAAATTTTAATTTACTAGTGTTCACTATGAAAAATTTGAAATACTGAAGTGTTCACTATGAAAACTTTATTAAAATCAACTCAAATATACTTGATACCATTGTGTTTAGGATGGTAACTGCATTTGTATTGTTTTTTTTTTACATCTACTCTTGTATTGTTATTTACAACATGCCATAGGTTTTTTCCAAAAAATATAAAATTAAAAAATAAACTTGAATGTAAATATGAGTTGCATGCAAAGTACATGCAATTGTTTGAGATTGAAGACATCAATAGATATCTTTTGTGAATTGAGGTAATCTGCAAAGCTGGATAGTACCAATGTTTTAAGAATAACGTTTACATTCACACAGAAAATTATAAGCTGTTGTAATAAATTTTAAACTTTTAATTTCAAGAGGCTTTAAGTTTTAAACCTATATAAACCATAATGCTGACTTTGAAATATTCATTTACCAAAGTGTAAACATTGAAAACTTTGATTTATTAAAGTTAACAGTTAAATATTTTCAGTTTCTTGTCTGGCACACTGCTGTGCCAATGTCAACAAATTTTGGGCCAAGAATGTAAATGAGTGGAGAAGAAAAAAAATTTAAAATTAATAATCCCTGCCTTCGTAGACCTTAGAGGTGAGGCTGAAACCATCAAAACTTGCGTTATCTGTAGACATATGCTTACTCATGGACATTAACCATATAAGCTCTCTGCTCGATATGACTGGGGTCAACAAGCATTAAACCTACTACCAAAATTTAAAAGTTAAACGAGACTTACCTGGAAGGTGAAGTTTGACTGTAATTTCTTCGACCCAATTGGGTGCCGAGGGATCAAATGAGATGATAAGGTTACCGCGTGGTTCATACTTTAGAGCACAAAAATTTGGATTAAGATTAACAAAGTAGGATCAAAAACGGGTGGGATCTGCCTTCGGGTTGGGCATTTGATCCCTCGGCACCCCATTGGATCGAAGAAATTACAGTCAAAATTCACCTTCCAGGTAAGTCTCGTTTTACCTTTAAATTTCTTCTCCCCAATTGGGGCCTCTGTATCAAATGAGACTTTAGGGTTAAAATCCAGATTTTTGGAAATTAAGTTCTAATAATGAAAACAGAAATGATCATTCTACAATTTTATCTAGAAATCCTGAAAATTTTAATTATACATGTATACACAATTACGTACATATGATGTACAGTCACTTGTAATTTTTTAACAACGTTTCACAAATGTCAGCATTTAAAGTAATTTCTTTGTTATAAAACTTTCTAAATGTTGACTCTCGTGACCAACCCACTGTTCGCATAATTGTATCAACAGGGATTCTTAGTGCGTGTGCAGCGCTCGCAGAAGCCACCCTGGTGCTGTGAGGTTTGAATATAGAAATATCAATTCCTGCCATCTGTAGAACAGACTTCAGCCACCTGCCAAGTGTGTCTCTGGACACTGAGTTGTGCGGTCGTTGTGACGTAATAAACAAGCGTGTAACGGCACCTCGCAGAGTCTCTGTTTTTTGTAAATAATTAGTCAAAGTGTTCACCACACACAAATCTTTATCGACTTCGTAGCTAGTTAGCTCAATTTCACCCAAGTGTCTTTTTGTACTTGAAGTTTTCAAAAGATCACCTATAACAATTTTAACACCACTCTCTTGAAAATGAACATTTCTAATATCAATCAAATGAAGGGTTTGTCCCCTTTCCCTGAAAGTAAGGCAAGTAACATAACCAGTTTCCGAGATAATTGTAACAGTGACAATGATGATAAAGGAGACAAAGATTTCAAATATTTTAACACAATATTTACATCCCAGGTAACATTGTATCTTGGAAGAGCAGGTCTAAGTACAAACACCCCTCTCATAAACCTACGAATTAAAGGATGAGAACCTATATTTACACAATTTTCTAACTGTAGAAAAGATGATAATGCGCTCCTAGCCGTATTTAGACAACTGTATCCTGACCCTGATTGAAATAATTCTGTTAAAAATGACAAAACATTGTTCACATTTGCCTCAAATACATTAATTTGTCTGCTATTACAAAATGACAACCATTTTTCGAAATATGCCCTATATTGTTTTTTAGTGGACTCTCGCCAGGAAGATAAGAGAATTTTTTGAGTGTCATCTGATAAGCCTCGATTTTTGAAGGATTCCCCGATACACGGAATGCGCCCAGTCTCATTTTTCTCAGTGGGTGGTACTTCTCGGGTTTGTTCGGCATCGTCAGAAGATTTTGAGTGTCCGGCAACAGATAACTGTCCCTGAAGCAGCCGTGGAAACCAATGCTGTGTCGGCCAGATTGGAGCAATTACTATCGCCTCTGCTCTGTCGGTAGTAATTTTCTGCAGCACTGATCCCATCAAACTGAAAGGACAAAATATGTAACACATTAAGTCACTCCAGTCCATGCTGAAAGCGTCTATAGCTTTTGCATGTTGGTCTGGGCTGTAAGAAACGTATGGCATGAATTGAAAATTATGCTTGGAAGCGAACAAGTCAATATCACATTTCCCGAACGAATTTTCTATTTGTGAGAATATATTCCTATCTAACATCCACTCTAGGTCATCATTTTTGTGGCGCGATAAATAGTCAGCCTCTATATTTTCAACACCCGCAATATGACTTGCAGATAACCAGATATTTCTAGCCATACAAAAATCCCAAATTGAAATTGTCAAGTCGTTTAGTGATTCAATTTTTCCTCCCATTTTTGAAATGTACGTTACAGCCACCGTGTTATCCATGTAAAGTTTTACATGTCCCTCTTGTAAATCATTACAAAATTTTGATAACGCAATTAATCCTACTTTCAATTCCAAGAAATTGATATGCTTCTCTTTATCTTCATCTAACCATTCTCCTTGATAACAATCTCCGTTGTTTTCATTAAAAATGCCCCAGCCTGCCAACGAACTGTCTGTTTTAATTACTAACACTGGTTTATCAATATTTATAAATCGAGGAAAACGTTCAACATTATTTATCCACCAAGTGATTGTTTTCCTAATTTCACCGGAAATCAGAAATTTAGCATCAAAATTACCAGCATTTGTTTTTAATTCTTTGTCTTTAACAATCTCAAGAGATTTATAATACAAAGGCGCATAGCGGACACCTGGTTCACTTGACACTAATTTGCCAAATAACTGTGCAAATTCTCTTATCGTAATTCGGTGCAATTTCAGAATTTCCTCACACTTTTGTCTTATCGATGTAGCCCGATCTGGCGTTAATGATACTGTCATTAATTCAGAATTTATTATAAATCCCAAAAATTGAATATCTCTACTTGGAGTGAAAACCGACTTCTCGACGTTTATAGTAAATCCAAGGCTGTCTAAAAGCTCAGCTGTCTCCCTGACATTTTTACGGCATTCAGATTCTGTTTTGCTCACTAACAAAGAATCGTCAATATAAGCAATATTAGCATGCCCGCGTTTCCTCAATGTGGAAAACACCGGTTTCAACAGTTTCGTGAATATACGGGGAGCAGATGCTAGCCCCATTGCTAAGCAAGTATACTGGTATTTTCTATCGTTCCATAAAAATCGTAAATATTTTCTGTCTTCTGTGCACACAGGACAAGAATAATACGCATCTTGTAAGTCAATGGAAGCGAAAAAACAGTTTTTTGTCAGACCAACAGCTGCAGACAGCGTTTCCATCTTAAAATGGTGATATTCAACACAATCATTAAATTGTTTCAAATTAAGAATGACTCTAAATTTCCCGTTTTTCTTAGGTCTCATGAAAATGTTAGATATAAATTCCCCTTCTTCGTAATTTGTAACTGGTTCAATGATGTTCTTCTCTAATAAATCATTGATCTCTTTGTCAATTATAGCCTTTTCTGACTCATTAAACTGAATTGTTTTAGGTATAAAATTTTGGGATGGTAAGTTTTCAAATTCAATTGAATATCCCTTGACATAATCCAAAATCCTGGAATCGCTAGTAATTAATTTCCAATTTTGAAAATAAAGTGCAATTTTTCCTGCCGTAAAATTTTTACATGTATTGTGTAACGAACTCACGTTTTGAAGATCTCTCTGACTTATTTCTTTTGCTTGTTCGTCGTCGTCGTTTTCTTTCTGTAGTTGGTACCCCAGCGTTGGCCTAAAAAATTCTGGGTTCTGTAGTTTTGGTTGTAACTTGAGGAAGACCTCTGTCCTTGCTGAAACTTGCGGTTCTGATATCCGCGTTTATCAAACTTCTGGTGTCCGGAGATTTTAGCTCCCACTTTATTTGCTTTTACTATATCTTCTACTCTCTTTCCCAGATCGTCGCCGAACAGTTTGTCTGTAACTGGATGTTCATTTGAGCATAATGTGCGAAATTCTTCGTTTCTCTCCGGTTGGATAATCAATTCTCGTCTTCTATTTGACAAGTCGCAATACGCGACAGCCATGAGTTTAAGCCCGTCCATAGCCAGGTTTGAGAGTTCCTTCCTTGATGGCATCTCGCCCTTTTGTTTGGATTTAACTAGCAAATTAATCTGTTGTAACACAGGTACAATTGCCTTCCCGAGCAGGGTTTGAGTTCTCTGTAGTCGAATGTCCTGACTACGCATTTTCCGGCTTAACTGCGCCCGGATTTCTTCGTTTAATTTTGGTGTAACGATATTTGGGACGTTTTTTGGTCGGTTGTATTTTTCACTCAACTCTTTGATTTTGTCTGCGTCCAGAATTGAGCGAAGACCATCATTAGCTCCTTTTGCTAGTTTTTCATTTATCGCCTCACTACATTTATCTTCGCCACCGAAGCATTCCACCAGTCCGTCTAGCATATCGTCACAATCACTGTCTACATCTTTATTTACTTCTTCCAGTAACTCATCTAAATCATCTTTCCCGCCATCTTCATCCTCAGACACATCACTGAGATCTAGACCTGATGGTCCTGGTTTGTCATCCTCAGCCTTTCGTTTTTTACCCCGTTTTTGTTGGAGCTCGCAAACTGTCGATGTCAGAGATGCAATATTCTTCTGCATTTCTTTCATCATGGCGACTATGCTCGTATTGTCACTACTGTCGCCCCTCTCCCTTTCATAATTTCCAGGAGAAACGTTATTTGCATTTTCAGTACTCATACTGCAAACACTGTTTAGACAGTTTTAAAATACTGCGTCTATACGCAAAAACAGCGTCTATACGCTTATTTGATGGCAATGTTTAAGAAATATCTGTTTTATGTACGAATCTCACTTAATCACTTATAAACACATATATATATCCAAAAATTATTGCGAATTGAAAATTACGTCTGCTTCTGAACCACGCTAACTTATCTATGAACCACGCGGTAACCTTATCATCTCATTTGATACAGAGGCCCCAATTGGGGAGAAGAAATTATACATTTCATGGCTCCAAGTAGGGACAGGGTTTCTGGATTTAGGGCGGGGAACTATGATCAAAAAGCGAAATTGAAATGCATATTTAAAAAAAAACAACTTTTCTCCTCATTTATAAAAAAGCAGGTAAACTGGGTTCATGGCTAGTGATGATTGTATAGTAAAAAAAATATTACTAAATTTTCTCTGCTGCAAGGAGTGCCTCTTTCGAAATTGTGAATTTCATGGCCCCTATTTTCTGTAGAGAAGTGGACAGGCTTTCACCTACATCTACTTCACATCACAAGTATTCTTATTTTGATTCCTGAAAACAAACAGGTGATTGCTTTACATTTGATTATATATGTTGAAATTATTAATACATGTATTACATTCAGACTTATTTTAAACAAAATGTAAGTTAAAGTGTAGGCCGTCACCGGTTCTGAAATTATGTTTTCTAGAGTACAAACATGAAGGAGTGGATGTAGGCGAAAGCTTCAACTTCTATAAGGGTGCATGACCCCTAGAATAGGAATAAGGATATGGAAATAACGAACAGTATTCAATCTCAACGTCCATTAAACAAATATACAAAACAAGAGCAGAGCAAACACGGACCTCCGAAACATCAGAGGTGGGATCAGGTGCCATGGAGGAGTGAGCATCCCCTGCTGACCGGTCACACCCGCCGTGTGCTCATTGTCATAGTCAGGAAATAACGGAAAAAATCCGTAGTCAATTCAGTGTATAAATAATGGACTAACAATTGGTATGAAAAACGTCAGTCAGCATTTCATTCAATGATAAATTGTATTTGCTGACAAGGTCATTGTATCGACCATAGAATTTACGAAATGATGACTTTAAACGAGACTGTTGATATTCTTGTTTGATTGGTGTTTTGATTGAGATTTTTTGTTTAAGTACTTAGAATGCATTATTTGGTTATTTGAAAAACTTCACTACTACTGGGTATTTTCGAGATAGCAAATTAATATTGTACAGCTAAGATGATAAGGAGTGCATCTACATGTACCACAATTTTGAGACTTGTTTCCCCGGGTTCTGTTGGGTGTTTTATTGATGTTTTAGGTCACCTGAGTAACCTAGTGCTATCCTTTTTCGTACGTCGTCGTGCGCCGTGTGTTAGGCTAACATTTGAACATTTTCACCTTCTTCTCTGCAACTGCTCAAACAATTTCAACCAATGTTGGCATAAAGAATCTATGGGTAAAGGGGAACAAAAATTGTGAATTTTCATAATCCCTGTGTCCCTGGGGCCTGAAGATTGGGGTATAACACTAAAATCAATGCAATCTTTAAAAATCTTGTTCTTTACTTCTGGACATCAAGCAGTCAAACTGTTGGCATGAATGTTATAAGCATCGAGTCCTTTGACAAAATTGTGAAATTCATGGCCCAAGGGTCAGGGGTTCTAGTGCTATAGCGGGGCTGGATAGATTATTTAGTGAAAATGCATTATTTCTTTGAAAGTCTTCCTCTCTGCTCCTGGGTATTAAACAAACAAATTTAAGGATAGGGTGTACATAGGCCTTGTCTATTGCCCAATCATTATTGTATTATTCAATAAAATATTTTTAAAGTATAAAAAAAATTAATATAATTATTATGATGCAGAATGGTGTCTTTTCCAAAACTGTATGTTGAATAAGGCTGCCTCTTCCAAAAATGTGAAATTCATTGCCCCAGGGTCAGGGGTTCTTGTGTAAGGGAGCGACTCTTTTGATTATATAGTGAATATACATTGTTTTTTCGAAAATCTTTTTCTCTGGTCCTGGGTATTAAACAAACTAATCACATACATAGTTTTGGTGATGAAGGTGCCTCTTCTAAAATTGTAAATTTCATTGCCCCAGGGTCAGGGGTACTTGTGTTAGGGTGAGGCTGTATTAATTATATAGTAAATATGCATTAATTTTCTGAAAATCTTCTTCTCTGTTCCTGGGTATTAATTACATGATCGTTATAATGAAAAAAGGTGCCTCTTCTAAAATTGTGAATTTCATGACCCCAGGGTCAGGGCTCTGGTGTTAGGGCGGGCACTATTAATCATAAAGTGAAAATGCACAAATTCATTAAAAATCTTTTCTGCTTTTGGGTATTAAACAAACGAACTACTAGTACCTTCGTAGTTATGACGCGATAGCGTGCTTCTTCTCAATTTGTGATTATCATGGCCCCAGGATCATGAGTTCTGGTGTTAGGGTTGGGCTTTATTGATTAGAAATTGAAAATGCATTAATTCTTCGAAAATCTTTTTCTCTGTTTCTGGGTATTAAACAGACGACAAACATTGTTATAATTAACAAGGGTGCCTCTTCTAAATTTGAGAATTTCGTGGCCCCAGTGTCAAGGGGTGTGGGTTTTGAGCAGATGAGATAATATCTATGATAATCAGTCATTTTTCTTCTAAAATTGTTAATTTCAAGGCCCCTGGGTCAGGGGTACAGTATGGGGTTCTGGTGTTAGTGGGGCTCTCATTATATACTGAAAATGAATTAAGAAATCTGGACCTTGGTAGTTATCAAACATTTATGTTGAACGCCGGTGCCTTTTCCAAAATTGTGAAATGTGTGGTACTTGGGTCAGGGGTTATTATTGCTGAATATTACTGATTTGTTGAAATGAATATTTTTGTTTCCCTACTCTGCCTATGGGTATTAAGTAACCAAAATAGCATGCTAAGTGTATAGTTATAATGAGCAATGGTGCCTCTTTCAATTGTGAATATGATGGGCTCTGGTGTAAGCATGATCCAAATTCAATGGTTGGAAAGTTGTTGCATAATGCTCAAGTGACCTATAAGGCCCACGGGCATCTTGTTGATTATATGTATAACAAGAAGCATAATTTCTTTGAAAATCCTCTCTTCTTCTGTGTAAAAGCAAACAAAGCAAGTATATATTGAGTTGAGCAAGGATGTCTCTTCCAAAATTGAGAATTTCAAGGCCCCGTTTAGAAGCTTTTGGTTACTTTTAAACAATATTGATTATTTCTTAAATCAGTTCATTATTTGAAAATCTTATTTCTCCTGAGTAGAAGGCAAATGCATGGTTTTTATTACCAGGCATGCCTCTCTCAAAACTGTGAAATTTGTGTCCATAGCATAGGGGAACATCTGTGTGTTGGGATTTTGAATTTATTCTTTTA